ATTTAGGGAAAATTTTATTGTAGTGCTTGACTTTTTGTTATTATGTCATAATAAGGCCTGGATTTTCAACTTTTTTTTAGGGTTTCAATTTTAAGTTATTCTCAATATAAGAGTTACTTTTACATTTTACTTCCAATTTAAGACTCCAAATCATTTTTTGTTTTTACATAAATATGTAAACCAAAATACTATTATTTTGAAATGTATATGTTAATATTTATAACTTTTTTAATAACATTACTTTAGTAAACAAAATTAATTCATTTAAACTAAATTAATTTTGCATAAATGTAGCTTATTTGAATTAATTTTTTAGGAAAAGCTATTTTTACAAATATATTTAATACTTTTATTCACAAATAATATTTTCTAGAAGTTTATTTTAAAAAAATAAAATTAGTTTTTAATGTTATCACAATTTAGATCGAAGTTAAGTTAAAATTTATTTTTTAAAATAAAATTCATTAAACTTTTTCATAAATATAAATTATAAAATAATTATTTTATTAGGTAATTTTAGTAAATATATTTAATATTTTTCATTATAAGTATTTAAAAGTTAGATTTAAAAAAGAATATTGCGGTTTACATAATTATATCAAAATAAAAAATAATTTGGAGTCTTAAATTGAAAAGCAGAATGTAAAAGTTATCTTAATAACAAATCTTTATATTTTAAAAATTAAGATAAGCCCTACAATAGAATTTCTTCATCTTAATAACAAATCTTTTACCTCTTTATTCCTGTCTTTGTCAAACAATGCCACTCGGCCTTACTCCCGTCTTTGTCGAACAATGGCACACAAGACCGAGAAAGAAGCCAACCGCAGAGGCTCCGGCTGAAGAAAAAAACCTCACGAAGAAGGGTTGTTAGAGAAAAGAAGAAGAGGGCGAAGAGAAGCGTGCAGGCGTACAAGCGTCCTAACCAATCGTCGTTTCTTCTCAAGTGTCGCAACTAAGGTCGTCTTCTACAGGTAATTTTAGGTCCTTATACATTTTGTTTGTATGGTCTCTGAATAGTTCATCTGACCAAATCTAAATTCTAATCTGCTACTGCTCATGGGCAATTGGTTCAATGAGTAAACAATAATTTTTTTTTTTTTTTTTGTGTTTTCTTCATTTCAAATGGGGTTTTGATGTTCGATTGAATTATGTTCTTCTTCAACTTTTTTCATCGTTATTGCAGCGTTACAATTATATGTGGTTTCCTCATTGTGTTACGCTTTGCAATTTTATGAGGTTTCCTAGTTGTGTTATGCCAAATTTTGAAAATGATTTGGTAACATTCTTCTATATCTAATGAAAATGAAAAATGAAATATTTCAGAATATTGGAAGAATGACACAAGATTGTATTTCCTCTTCTTCATTAAGTTGGTGAAATTTTGATATGATGTTAGTATTACTTTGTTTAGGGGCCAAATTGTTGTAACTTTATGAAAGTGAAACAGGACTTTGAAATATATCTTACCAAGATGTATGTTTTTGTATCTTTGTCCATGTCCTAAGTAATCAGATATAAAAATAAAGTGTAATG